CTGTAACGGACAGCGCTTTAGACCACTCGGCCACTCGGGGCACCTTACTAAAGAACAGATAGGATATGAGTGCTTAAAGACACCACACGCACACACACACACACAAGCACACACACATACACACACACACACACACACACACACACACATATATATATATATATATATATATATATATATATATATATATATATATATATATATATATATATATAAATCAGTATTGCTACCTACAAACAAGGGTATGAGGTTTATAGACACACTATCACATACAAGCAAGGAAAGGAGTGTTTAGAGACACGCCATACCCTCGATAAAAATAGTATTTTATTACACATCAGAGTGGGATAAGTGGTGCTATGGTTTAGTTGCTTGCCAAGACAAATACACTGGCTTAAAGAAGCATACACAAACACACATACTTCAGCAATATGTCGAGTAGAGTCTCTTTTATAAAATATTTGGGTGACCCCGAAAATTATCTATGGTTTTGTTACGACTCTTTGTTTGTGACTTTTGTTAAGTTTATGTGATTAAATTGCTTGTGTTTAAGGTTTAAAAATCTTTTTATTTCATTTTTGTTTCATTGTATTTAATTACAATGAATATTTTTTTTTTCGGATTCGGGATTCTATTTTTAGTAGTGATATATAATTTTAGCACAAACTATATTTATTTAAGACGAAATAATGATACATGAGGGTTGGCATTTAGTTCGCCTTACATTGGTAACAAATCAACAGGAAGTTAAAATGACTGTTCAGCATCATGAACATACTTTCTCCTCGTGATCAATGTTTGTAAACAACCTATCTTTATATTTTGGTTTTTAAGTCGGTCTGTACTGCGAACGTGACATTAATAGCGCAATAAGAGACCAGATGACCAATATCGCGAGATTTGAAGTGATTTAATACGCATTTTTAATATTGGTTTGGCTAGAGTCATTCAAAGCCTTGAATAAACAAGGTGTTGTTTATAATTTGTTGCCAGAATATTTTCTTCTGATTTTTATATTCAATAATTTATTTTCCTGGACACTCAACAAGTTGACTTTCTTATAAAAATATCTAATATATATTTATGGAAATTAATTATGGAATTATTCGGAAACAAAGACTGTGACTCAAGTGAGGAATTAGTGCTATTCATATATTGGACTACATTTGCGGGACTCGAACCTGAATTTTTATAGTACTATTTAGTAATATGACTTATGTTGTTATATTGAGAATCATATTTGGATTATATTAAGAGACTGTAAATCGTATTTACCAATTTTTACATTGTTGTCTAGGGAAATAATTTTTGTTAAAATTTACAAAGTTTGTTGGTTTTCACTCTTGTTTTTGTTACTGAATACAAACCCTTGTCACGTAACACTCTATGTTCGATATAGGACTCAGGTTACTAATTCGGTTTCCATAATTCGGAATACCAAATATCCCGTGGAATTTTTGTTAACTATATGTGTTGAAAATGAATTTTCAATTTCTCACCTAAAGAACCAGGTGCTTCTTTTACAATGAGTATTCAAAATTCATGTATGAAAATGACTGAGATTTAAATTTTCATTATCAACCAATCAATGCTCTCCAAATCCATGTATACCCTATCTTATGTAACCTGTTTCTACACTGGTTCCCGTTTGGCAATATAAATAGAATCGCGAGTCCTGCAATCACTAATGTGGTTAGAATCATTGTCAAAAGTTATCCTATAACGTATGCCTGTAGAGATGTTATGATTGGCCATGAATGCCATAATTAATGCATGCTGTCCTTCCAGGAGATTTTCATATTTCATTAAAGTTTAAACACACAGCTAACCACATGAAATCCTATTCAGTGAAATTTTATATTATGATTTCACCTCAGTGGTTGCTAACGAATTGAATTCAAAGTTATGTGTTATATCGATGACTTTCAAGGATTGGTCAACATTTCCAGAAAGACTCGTGATCAGAATGATTCATGTTTAAATGTTTTTTTTTTCTTCAAATAACAGAGCTTCACTGACTTTATGTAGCTTGACTTTATAGTTCATGACATAAATTTGTATGTGGCACTTGAATAGGTATCTCATCGTATAGTACTATTTGAAATTGAAGCAAAATTAGTACTATTAATCGCAACAGCATCATTAATGGTGCAAATTAAGACAATATAAACTGCGTATAGTGGAAAGTGGTAGCTGCAGTCGTGTAAAGCCTTGTAAACTATTTAGGTTCATCTGCTTTAAACAAAAGTCATTTAAACATGCTGCTTTACTTATCTTTTATCGTATAGTAGTGATGAAAACCTCGTGACCTTTTCGACAATTATAATATCAGTCTGATAACTGAAACTGATAATGACTACGAGTAGAAGACGTCATGCGATCTAAAATTTAATGTATTTTCCTTTGCAGAACGTGTAACTTTGCTGAAAATTTAATTTTCAGACAACTTTGTGTAGCAAGCCAATGTGTCAATAAAAATGCATTTCTGCAGCTGGATTGTTTTAAAAAAACCTGCCAATAGCTATACTTGCTTGTTAATTTTAAGGTTTATTACTAGTTTGTGAGTGAACATATGCAATCTGTTAGGAAACTAAAACCCATTTATGCTATGGAAGTTCATCACATTTCTGTTTAGTTTTTTGACAGGGCGTACCTTGACAAATATAATAGCAAATGTATCATCGAGAAAACCGTATTATAATACTATTATATATTACGTTTATCTGTAAATATGCTATGACCTGGTAAAGTTTCTTGGATAAAAGTAATTTCTTCAGAATGCATTTTATCTGGAAAGAAAATTCGAAAAATGATGTAGATTTCTCAAGAAGAATGCCGATGACACTCAGACACGTTCTTGACCATTATTAATGTCGTTCGTCTTTCCTCGAAAAAGACACTTAGCAAGCAACGTAATAAGTTTTAAAATGAGCAACATATTGAGACCTAGGATGCAAAACCATTGCAACTTGAATGCAGATTGAAAATACGAAATGTTGATAAAGTATTTCTATGCAAGATGTGGTTTTGTCTTGGTCAAATGCCAATTTTATCCCAGGCACGCTAATAGATAAGCTATGTGATACATGAGAAATGTCAGCAATATATCTTTAATAATTACGGGCTGCAAAAGCTGACACTAGTCAGTATATAAAGATAATCGTATTTCAGTAGTAAGAATGAATATATATTTTTTTCATATTAATATCTTCGTTTGATGACTGCATAACGATAACACGTCATCAAAAACAAAATTTAAATATATACTATCATGCGATCTTAGTTATGTGATATGTTCAAGGCAGATAATGCTTCAGTTTAGAAAAGGTATTTTAATATACGCCACATCTTAAAATGAAGTAATAGATATAATTTAAATAATATAACCATAACCACCACTACAACCACCATCATCAGCAGTATGTTACATATGCTGAACTATATTAAAGACTAATTAACAATCAGATTTACTAATTGCTCTCTCTCTCTCTCTCTCTCTCTCTCTCTCTCTCTCTCTCTCTCTCTCTCTCTCTCTCTCTCTCTCTCTCTCTCTCTCTCTCCTATCATTACAAGAATCGAGACTTTCGTCTCAGTTGTAATTATCTAGGTTACCACTTTATGACATGGCATGACCTTGTTTCAAATAGCCCTATCCCTGAAATCGTAAGAAAATCAGTCTTTGGAATGAGTTGAAGCACCAACCTCTGACATTACATCTACAGATATCATAAGCTACTGTTTGTGAGGTGACCCATTTTGCTGACAGAGGGAGAAAAGAAATGTATTCTATAGTTAAAGTTAAAACCCAGAAGAATATGTGGAGAATAAGGTTGCTTTAAGTCACCCTCAAGGCATCGTACTGGCATCAAAAATTCTTTTATCATGATTTGTTGAGGTTTCCTATTTTATGCCGGTATAAATCTCTGCTCGTTCAAAGTAACAAATAAAAGAGTGAAGTCAACAAGCTTTGTAAATTTTAACAAAAATAATTATTTCCCTAGCAATCACGGTAAAAATATGAAAAAGGAATATTTCTGAATATTTAGTTTGTAAATATAACACAAAAATTGAAATTGAAAACTATAAGTCTTATCACTAAAAGTTCATAAATGAACCCAAGTTAAATCCCGGCGAAGTTCAAAGATGGCAGAAGATTACGTCAGATTAATGCAGTATTGATGTGTCAAACGTTCCACGTTGAATTTTATGAATCACAAAAGAGTTGTCAAAAGTTCCACGTTGAATTTTATGAATCATGAAATAATATTTCCGCTTTAGAATTTTAAATAATTCCCACTAAATGTCTGTGTCCAAGAATTTGATGAAGAACAGCACTTGTAAACGTTTTCCAGAGGATTAATTATTAATTCCGAAGAATAGGAAAACTCAAAGGCAAACTCATTTAGCAACAGCAAAATTATCTCTAAACTCTCAAGGTATTATTTTGCGACTCCGCTAGAAAAAAGTGATACTAAGTATTATGGTGATTTCATAGGTTTACCGTGGGGACTGAATTAGTACCGTTATTCTTAAAACGTCATTTCGACACTTGTGATGGATCACATGATCAATTACTACAATAAATTTAACACGCACGCCAGGAAATTGAGGTATGACCTTGATACTGACCAATCATTTTAGCTCATTGTTTACCAAATGTATGAAATAAGGTCAGCTAAAACTAATGTTAATGCAATACTTTACGTATAAAATTTACTTTACGTATAAAATTACTTTTAATAAAATATCGAATCCCGTGAAAATAGTCATTACAATAAAATGTAATGAAACAAAAATAAAAAAAAAGAATTTTAAAACAAACACAAGGAATTTAATTACATATATATAACAATGTATAAAACAACTTTTTCTAATCTTGTGACTATAAAGAGAATATTTTGGTTTTATAATCACTTTTATCAACCTAAGACTTCGTAGCAATCATGCTTTTAAAATAGTATCAAAGTCAGAATCTTTCGAACTGGTTCTACTAATACCGCTCTTGTGGCTTAGTGGTTAGAACGTGCGCCTTGAATGCGAGAGGTCTAGGGTTCCAACCCCGGTCAAGTCATACCAAGACTTGTAAAAATGGTACTAGCAGTAGCCATACTAGGAGCTCAGCATCAAGAAGTTAGTCTTAGGACTGGTTGGCGTGGTCTCAGGATAATGTGACGTGGTGAAACATGATGCTACATGTCTGAGGCACAATGCCCCAGTGCTTGATATCACCATAAACTGACACACTACAGACATCGTAGCGATTTGACTGAAAAATTGGTAAAGCTACGTTAAAAATCCAAATCTCTCTCTCTCTCTCTCTCTCTCTCTCTCTCTCTCTCTCTCTCTCTCTCTCTCTCACACACACACACACACAGACACACACACACACGGTTTTATTAACCACCCGTCGTTGTATCTATGTACGACCTAAATTGTTGTCTTAGGAGACATTATCAACATAGTGCAAAGTCATCCTAAAGAACATGCCAACATTTTTCAAACATAACTCAAACAGTTGTAAATTCGCTATGAGTGTTTACCATACTTATACATTACTATATCATTTGCATAATATCCTCACGTATAGTAATTTCTGTGAGTAATTAACAAGTGAATATTTACAAATGTTACCTTCCAGGAAGGTCAAACATGTTTCAAAAATGTGACCGATATATTGAGTAATTTGAATGTTGTTGGTTACGAACCGTGGTCATACCACGATTAAATTATTCTGATATTCAAAAAAAAATTATTGGGCTAAATGTCAACTGCTACCATAATATATATATTCGATTATTTCATACTTAGATGAAAGCAAAAAGAAAAGAGTATAATCCAAAATATATTTTAAGGAATCCTGTCACCAAAGGTTCTAAAGGACGCCAATCAAAGTAAACTATTTGCTAGGATCTTATTGACATTTTGTAATATACAATAATGATGCTTTTTTTCACTTAAAATCATTGGATAAAATTTATCATCAACTTTACAGTCTTATGTTTGGTTCAGTACAAAACTTAGAATATGACAATTTCATGCACTAGGAGCAATCAATAAAGAGAAAAAAGTATTGCTTATGGTTTTATAGCACAATATTTATATTAAAAAATCCTACGACTTCTATATTAAAATATTCTAGTTCTTGTGGAGGAAGAAGAAGATGAAACTGAAATATTTGAAACAAAAATGTGAAATAATATAAGGGCGTAAAACATCCAAATTTTGAAAAAAAATCCACCGATTTAATTCACCTGGTTGGTTGGCACAGTGTAGATTAGACGATAACTATGTTAGAAAGCAGGCAGTTACTTCTTTAACATATTCGTTTTGAGCGGAAATGGAAGTCGCTTGGAAAATATTACTTCTTGACTGCGAGTTGAATTGTGAAAAGATTCAGTACTTTCTGTGTACAGCCATGTCATTTAAGATAATTATGATTCCAATAATAATAATAATAATAATAATAATAATAATAATAATAATAATAATAATAATAATAATAATAATAATAATAATAATAATAAAAATAAAAATAATAATAATAATAATAATAATAATAATAATAATAATAATAATAATAATAATAATAATAATAACAATAATAACAATAATAATAATAATAATAATAATAATAATAATAATAATAATAATAATAATAGTAGTAGTAGTAGTAATACTACTACTAATCATCATCATCATCATCATCATCATCATCATCATCATCATCATCATCATCATCATCATCAAGACTCTTAGAAAGTGCTAGATACAGTAGACGCCAGTTGAGAATTGGCACAGATTGAAAATTCATTAACCACGTATTTATGTAATTAACTAAAGGAATAACTGAATAATATATGCAGCAAACTGGACAATAGAAGGCGCAAAGTCAGTTTTGGTTAAAGTATTTAGCTTTGTTATCTCAATATATTATGGCGATATCTTTCAAGGTATCCGACCCTGATATGGTAGGTCAACATAGGTAGGTAACAACAAACAACGTCGGTATAAAACGGTAGGATCAATCTAAATTCTTTTAATAGGTTGCGAAACAGAAATATATTTCCCGGAAGTTTTTGAAACCCTATATCACGATCTAAGAAGGTCAATATCCAATATCAGAGTCTAACGGATACGGTAACAGGGAATTTGCTTGACAAAAGTTTGTTTGAGATAATCGCTGAGCTCTATTTGCTATAAAATAATCAAATCGACATAATTAGCTCCGCCTCTGCATCTGAAGTATTTAGATGGGTACGTTACAGGTGTTCGTCTCAATTATATTAGAAAAATGTGAGTAGATTTCAGGATGATACAAGATCTTTCTGATATCAACGTCTTGTGGAAAGTAGTGTAGATCGCAGACATAAAAAGCTGTATAGGAAAGTAAAGGTGGAAAACTGCTGCACAGGTGCTTTTCATAATTTCCATGGAAAATATTTATCTTTATTACTACTGTTCATTAAATCTTGGAGAAGAATAAATGTGTATGCTTCATATGCCATATTCGGGTCAGTTTCATGTGCACCTAGTGAAACAGCAACTATACCTGGTGTCAGAAAATGATATCGACATTTTGAAACATCCTTGGGAACGACTGTCATGCATGTACATGTGGAATCAAAACTAAACTATACCATGGAGTCGAGTAGCAATGATGTCTTAACTCTCTCCGATTCTTCTTATATTCTGACTGAAAGATAAATGATCTAACATGAACCCTGAAACCGTTATCAATTTTACAATTGGCTCGTACTATCATGGGGGAGGGGGAGGCAAAGGAAGCAGGTGATTTTACCTTTAAAAATGTTTTGGCCTACAGCCGTAAACCTTAATAGTTTATTACTGCATGTCGTCCCCGTTTTAATTGCTAAGAAATTATGCGAGCGCCCCTGTCTCATACAGTGTGATTATATAACTAAGAACAAATGTATTCTCGGATATTTTTAATTGCTAAGAAATTTCATTATTTAATGATAATGGATTGATTATTCATGACAATTACAAACACTGGTTTCTTTTGAAAATTTGGAAACAGTAAATGGTTATATGTAATTAACCAACTGCACGCAAATCCGCATGAGACGTTTTCAGAAATGTTTAGGGGACCAGGTCGGTTTTCACATACTTCAGATGCTTTTCTAAAACGTTCTTTGTTTCTGTATTCCACTACACTAAATTGCTTCAGTTATGTAAAGAACAACCGTCTGTACTAGCTTATAAGACACTCAAAATGCAAACAACATTATCACTATCGGCTGTAGCATAATGCTCCTGCAGATCAGGATTGGGGTCTGTGCATTTTGCAATTGGCCCCTCCTTATAAGAGAGTATATACAGTAGTTGAATTTTTCAGTGTTAAAGCACGTTTACTTCAGATCTCAGTTCCATAAGGAAATAATCTAGTTCTCTAAATGAAGATGATGTATTATTTATTTTGTGATGGAAAATTTCTATATACATCTGATACTTTTAAATCAGCTTTGATGTGGAAATGCATTTCAAATGGTGGCGTTGCTAATAAAGTCTCGTTCATTTACCTTTAGTTCCTGTCAAGAAAGTACTGCCTACTATTTTTTAGCCGACATACAGTAAACGTGTTTTTTTTTGCCAGTCCCTAATAACTTTTTATGTTCAAAGCAGAAACGCCAGTTTGCTAATGCCTAATATGCACCATTTGTAGAAAAATGTTTCACAATTAAGAATACAATTATGATTTTTAATCAGATAACAAACATTATCATTCATGAAATATGTCATATATGCACATGTTAGATTTCTTTGTACGTATATATATATATATATATATATATATATATATATATATATATATATATATATATATATATATATATATATATATATATCACTGTCAGTCTTTTTATCTTTGTGCATAGTTTGTCCTTCCGTATGACAAGGGACAACATATATTGGACATTTTGTACAATAGCACATTCTAAATGCACAGAAAAGTAAATGCAAACTGGAATTGACACGAAACATTAATGAATGTTCATTTCTTTTTCTAATGTATATGATATTTGCTTTGTAATAACTGTCTATTGGTGAAAGAATAATCACATTACAGATATTGAGGATGGCACAAAATAATGTGCCAAGTTGTTCACATAAGTCTGTTCTTAATTTTTATATATTTAATTAAAGGCTAGCATGACGGATTTGGCAATTTGCATAATAAACGGGGACATCTTAATGCCAGACGTTGCCGCCACCTTTTTAACTCCTGTCCTAAAAAACATTTCCCCCCTCCTCAACCAACTTACCACATAAAATTTGGTCACAATATGGCGACATTGCAATTGCTTACTTAAATAAAAATGTTACAAAAAGACGTAGAATGTAAAATTGTCGTTTTTTGTGGAGGGCTTGTTTGGATTATGCTCTGTAGGTTGAAAATATAATATCCATCGCTAACTCCAAGAATGTTCTCTCAGTAGATTTTATTTATTAATAAATATGATTTGCTACCTGCATGCTTTTTATTCCATATTTTTGATAAGAACACTCGTCCTTTCGAAGTTGTTTATTAAACGCACACAATATTGCTCATTGTATGGACTTGCGTTATCTGAGAGAGGTTTTCAGTGTGAACTTACTTAAAGAATAAGTTGATGTTGCACAAGAGTTAATTTTATGATTTTTTTGAGACAACGCGATTGATATAAAAAGTGTATCCTACATTTTAAGAATTTTGAAAAAAATGTTTAAACTGTCTTTACTTTTTTCTAGCTTATTACAGAATAGTGACATCTTTACCTTTACTCTTTTTCATGTTTGTTTTTTGAAATACTTTATCTTCTTAATGTTTCTGTAATTCTTTATCTTTATTTTTTCTAAGCTTTATGTCTTTTCGCATCATATAGCCATAATTATGCTCAGGTGCCATTACACTGCATACACTCAAATGTACATTGAGGCAAAAAATACATTTTTTCCCCAGGGAATAGATAAAGATATTCAGGTCGTCAGTACAGTGGATAAGTATTCAGGAAGTCAAGGCAAGATAACGAGGTCACTACTAATGTTACGGTCGATGTATAACTCATTTCAA